AGGCTTTGGCGGATTCTCGCCTCCACCTCCTGGTAACGCTGGCCTCTGCCCGACCCGAGCTCCAGCGCGCGAGCGAGTGTAAATTGTCATTGACCGGAAAAGGGGTCGCAATCTCAGATGCTTCGGGGGACGTGTGCAGTACCCGAGTGAGAAACCACGCTGCTGTTCCGGCTGATTGTTGCCACGCCGGACTGTGGGCCCTGTGATGCCAGATTTGTTTTCCTTCCCCCTCCCTCTCTCTTTTCCTCCCTCCCTTTCTTCCTTCTTTCCTTTCTCTTCTCTAAGAAAAATTGAAAATGTGTTTATGTGTGAAATCTGCCGATTTTAATAACACGCTGCAGTCAAAACACGCTGGGAAAGAGCAAAAGCAGGTTTTTCACAGAAAAATGGCCAAATAGGATAGAGACAAAGTAGGAGGTATGAAAAATCTACCAAAAGAGAAAGCTCCTAAGACTCAAACGGTACTACTACCCAGAATGATAAGTAGGATCGTCTCAGAACTCAATGAGGGGTGACACTCAGCTGAAATCGCCTGGGCCACACACTGCCTGAATTTTCCTTTAGCTTTTTACTTCATCGTCCTTCACATTTCTGCCATTCTTAGTGCCAGGCATTGTGCTAAGCTCATGGAGCTTTCTAATGGAGCTCACAGGACATTAGACTTGCCCATAGGTGACAAGAGCGATAGGAATGCTGATGGATGTTTTAGGGGCACCCAGGAGAGACGCCTACACAGATTGGCCGCGTTAGGTAAGACTCTGGGAGATGAATAAGAGGTACGATTTGGAGGCAAAGGCCAGGAAACAGGAAAAACCACAGTAGGGTACCTTTGAGGAAATGTCAGGAAAATGAGCAACAGAGAGATGTCAGGAGAGGAAACAGGGACCAGATCTCAGTTTGGACTTCACCCCAAAGATAAATGGCCATTGTTGGAGGGATCTGGGAACAAGTGGGATGGGGGGAGCTTTGTTCACTAATTTTAAGTAAAATCAACGATTTTACATATATGTGTATATATATATGTATCTCCACCACCCAAATCGGGGTATATACCATTTCCAGCACCCAGTAAGATTCCCTTGGGGAGCTTCCCATCTCTCTGTGCCCCCAGCCATAAGCTGGTATCACAAAGTGTATACTCCTCCATAGCTGCCTTTTTTGCCTCAACATAATGTCTGTGAGCTTCATGTATATTATGTGTACCAGTGACTCATTCTCTCTATTACTGTGTAGAGAAAATTCATGAAAACTTAGAAATGGTCCCCAAAATATTACTTCTTGTCCAGTGAAAAGGTGTTGTCCAGCATACCCTCAGGGATATCTGATTCTATGCAGGCTCTACACCTTTCATTGTCTTCGATATAAAGAACAACTCTGTAAGGTTTTTTTCAAATAACAGTTCTTGTCTAGAAAAATACAAATTGTGTCCGGTGGAATGCATTTAATTGTCAATTTTTTTTTAAAGATTTTATTTATCCATTTGAGAGAGAGAATGAGAGATAGAGAGCACGAGAGGGAAGAGGGTCAGAGGGAGAAGCAGACTCCCCGCCGAGCAGGGAGCCCGATGCGGGACTCGACCCCGGGACTCCAGGATCGTGACCCGAGCCGAAGGCAGTCGCTTAACCAACTGAGCCACCCAGGCGCCCTGCGTTTAATTGTCAGTTTCATCAGTCCTGCCAGCTTTTCATCTATTTGTAAAGTATTTCATTATTTCTCATTTAACTACAGTATATATATGTGCGGTACTTTGAATTTTCCTTTGAATCAGTTGTAATATCTTTCTGGATCTCATTAATTAAAGAGCTAAACAGAACCTTTGATGTGTTTAAATCTTTATGAGAATCATGATTATACTTGATTTTAAAAATTATTCTTTAACACCAGTAAGCTATTGTATGAACACGCCACAATTTATTTATCCATTCATCTACTGATGGACATTTAAGTTTTTTCCCTTTGGCTATTATAAATAAAGCTGCTATGGACATTTTTGTATAAGGCTTTTGTAATTGTATGCATTACTTTTTCTTGAGTAAACATTATCTAAGAATGGGATTTCTGGGCTATCGGGGTAAGTATATATTTTACTTTGGTAGAAACAGTCATGTTTTCAAAGTGGTTGTATCATTTTATACTACCACTAATGCTGGGTGAGTGTCCCATTATCTGCCTCCTTGCCAACACTGAAATTGCCGATCCTTTCCATTTTAGCTATTCTGCAGGGTGTTTAATGGTATCTCATTGTTGCTCGTTGTTGTTGTTGTTTTAGAGATTTTATTTATTTGAGAGAGAGAGAGAGAGAGCATGGGGGAGGTGGGGAGAAGTAAGGGGAGAGGGAGCAGGGCAGGGAGACTGATAGGGGACTCCTTCTGGGATCATAACCTGAGCTGAAGACAGCCACTTAACACCCAGGCGCCCTCATTGTTATTTAATTAGCCATAGAAGGTTTTCAGGAGGGAAGTGAGTTGAACAGATTTTAGAAAGCTCTTTTTGGTTGTTATGTGGAGAATGACATTTGTATACCCACGCTCACAGTGGACATTGATAATGGCCAAAACGTGGAAACAAACGAGTCCATTGGCAGATGAACAGATAAACAAGTGTGTATACATGCAGTGGAGTATGATTCAGTCTCAAAAAGGAATGAAATTCTGACACATGTAACAATATGAACCCTGAAGACAGCACACTAAATAAAATCAGCCAGGTACAAAAGGACCATTGTATGATTGTATGACTGTATGATTCCACTCATATCAGGTACCCAGAATTCAGAGACGGAAAGTGAAATGGTGGATACCAGGATTTGGGATGGGGGGTATAATGAGGAGTTACTGTTTAACAGGTAGAATTTATGTCTGGGATGGGTGAAAAAGTTCCTGAGATGGATGTTGGGGATGGATGTGCAACACTGTGAATGGAATTGATGTCGCTGAACTGTACACTTAAAATGGTGAATAGTAAATTTTATGTCACATGCACTTTCACATGTGCACACGCACACACAGATAAACACATGAGCCTAGTATTCTGGGTCTGACGACTGAGCAGTGGCTCCTGTCTCAACTGTACCTGCAAAATTTTAATTTATGCAACTGACTGAATGAGGACACAGAAGATTTTATTAGTTAGTGTTTCCTGAAAGGAGGAAGCACACCGCACAGGGTCATGTGGGGAAGCAACAGGTTTGGTCAGGATGCAGAGAGGAGCAAGGGAAAGCCTAAGCCAGAGCCCTTATTGGGGTGTGTGCAGGCAAGGCAGGCCAGGGCAGGGAAAATAGCTCACGATTGGCTAGTGTGAATAATCCTGGTGGGCTTTGAGTCTGTTAAGAGATGTCTAGTACCTGGCCCTGAATGGATTTCGGCCAGGGGAAAACACTGGCATGGTGTGTGACAGTCAGATAAGGAGGTGACTGTGGTTACAGACTGGAGATTGGAGCAGGGTTTGTAATACGACTTTTCTGTGCTTGAAAAAGCAGGATCACAGACTTCGGCTATTCATCTGGCTGTGTGGTTAAGAGATGTCAAAAGGACAAATACAGAATTGAGGGGAAAAAACGAGTTGGCGCTGTGGCTATCTGCATCATTTCAAGGGAACTTTTGGGTGACGATAGTGGAGAACGTCAGGAAGTATGGCCTAAGTTGCCCCATACAACACAGAAAACATTTTACCGTGAGCGTGAAATGGAGGAACAGGTGAAGTATAAGGAGTCCTTCTAGGCCAGCCCCTAACCAGGTTTTCCATTTGTACAGCATTAGTCGAAAAAACACCGGAAATTTTTAGAGTCTCTTAACAATATTTTGGTCGAGTTTGTAAAGTGTTTTAAAAACATGAGTTTGACAATAATGTCTCCGTGTATTTCTCAGGCCAGTTTGTACCCTCAGGCCAGGTATATTTCTTGACAGTTATGTTGCTGGAGGGTATGAGCTGATATTTATAAAAGCAACATTGGATATGGAAAGTCACAGACTCAAGGTCTGTGAGAGCCTCTATTTCCAGGAGAGCCCAGTGTGTAGCCCGTTATTTGTTGTTTTAATAGTGTATAGCATGGGGGCGCCTGGGTGGCTCAGTGGGTTAAGTGTCTGCCCTTCGGCTCAAGTCATGATCCCGGAGCCCGGGGATGGAGTTCCACGTCAGGCTTCCTGCTCAGCGGGGAGTCAGCTTCTCCCTCTGACCCTCTTCCCTCTCATGCTCTCTCTCTCAAATAAATAAATTTTAAAAATCTTTAAAAAAAATAGTGTATAGCATGATGCTAAGAGAGCTAGTTTCTTGTATCACAAGCTCTTGGGCAACTTATGGCCATCATAAGTAGTCTAAAAGCTCCAGGAGGCATAAGAAGAGGTTGCCAAAGACTCTACAGTGAAGGAGTTTCTGAGGGCACGAATGGGAGTGCCTACTGATTTTAATTTGGAAGGAAATCTGTAAATGAGGACTATGTCACAAGCAGCCCCCAAAGGACTAAACGATATGGGACTTATATGTCTGCAAGGAGTGTGTCAAGTGAGTCTCCTTTGAGCAGGATGTCATCAGTCATGGCATACGTGTGCCCCTGGTGGGCATGGTGAAGACCTTGTTTGCACAGGCCATATGTGGTGGCAAAGCTGTTGAGAGTCCCCATGCTTGGAAAAGGTTAAGTTGTGTCCCTTCAGGGGTGAAGGCAAAAATGCAGCTGAGAGGCTTTTGGAATAGGCACTCGATATAACATCTTAGCCACATTTATAAGAGCAAAATATAAACCTATTACTGACTGGATAGATTCAGTAATCTTCATAGTATTAGATATTGGGTATCTAAATACCCAAGAATGGGACCAGAGCACTAATGTAGTAATCCACCATGAGTCACCTGTTATGGACTGATTATGTGTCCTTAGAAAACTGATATGTTGAAGCCCCAACCCCCACTGTGACTGGATTTGGAGATAAGGCCTTTATGAAGATAACTAAGATTCAATGAGGTCATAAGGGGCAGGCCCCTAATCCAATAGGACTGATGGCTTTACAAAAGGAAGAGAGTGATTTCTCCTTCGCTGCACCACCAGAGGGAAGGCCATGTAAGGACGCAGTGAGAAGCCAGGAAGAAAGGTCTGACCAGAAACTGAGTCAACGGACACCTGGATCTTGGACTTCCCAGCTTTCACAACTGTGAGAAAATCAGTTCCTGCTGGTTAAGTCACCCAGTCTGTGGTATTTGGTTATGACAACCCAAGCTAACTAATACAACACCCTTTATTTTGTCCAGGTTTAAGAACAGGCGAAATTGGACTGTCAAATGGGGAAGCAGCAGGGATAATCACCCCTTTGTTAATTAGGTTTTATATAATAAGTTTTAATCCTCGAAGGCCCTGTTGTAACTTACATTGGGCCATAATAGCTATTTTAACTAAGGGGTCCGTGGAGTGCCATTGTATCAAGCCAATTTGTGTCAAAGATTTAGTTTTAATTTATTATTCATTGTGCTAGAGTGTGTGTGACCAATATGGGATATTTTTAGGACAATGGGTATTATGACTATGGGAAATTTAAGCAAAGCTATAGTTAAAGTGAGACATTCCTACTTTTTTTCTCTATCTTATATTTAGTTACTTTCTTAAGATTATAGCAGGCACGATGTTTAAATTTAGTGGAATCTCTAGCTATAACTATAATTTGAGCCCCGGTATTAAGACCATGAAGTTGCGTCAATTGGCGCATTTTAGCAAATGCTGAAGTTAATTTGGAACTTTGGTTGCAGACGCACAAAAGACAATCAGCACCATTTTTATCTTTTTGTTACATAAATTCTTTTAGTATATACATTTACTGTACACAAATTTTGGATTTCTAACTGGGTCAAATTAAGAAAATTTCTTTTAGTTAGATGTCATCTATACATATGTAATGTATCTATTACACATTTGTGTTAAAATATTCTATAGACACATAATTTATTTAGTTACCTTTTATTTTCTCCCCCTGTATCTAGGATTTGGTTCGGTTTTGTTCTTTTTTTCTCTGCCTACTGTTTTTCTCCTGTCTCAGGCTTCTAGCTGCTGGAAGCAGTGGTTTTTAGTTTCCGTCTCTGGCTGGTAAGAGGACAGGGGGAAGGGCGCCTGGGTGGCTCAGTCGTTAAGCGGCTGCCTTCGGCTCAGGTCATGATCTCAGGGTCCTGGGATCGAGTCCCGCATCGGGCTCCTTGCTCCGCAGGAAGCCTGCTTCTCCCTGTCCCACTCCCCCTGCTTGTGTTCCTGCTCTCGCTGTCTCTCTCTCTGTCAAATAAATAAATAAAATCTTAAAAAAAAAAAAAAGAGGACAGGGGGAAGGGAAGAGCCCCCTGATTCTAGGCAGCAGCCTCTCCCTGTCCACAGCCTAATCTGTCCCCTTGTTGCCATCTCCCCCAACACACACCTTTTTTCCTCTTAAGCAAAATCTTTCAGAACAGCCAGACAGCGGTATCTCTAGGTGAGTAAAGGTCCCCCCCGCCAACCCTTTCTTTTTCTTTCTTTCTTTTTTTT